ACCCAGTGCTCCATTCAATATGTGCCCTCTTTAATACCCATCACCAGGCTAACCCATCCCCCCACCCCCTCCCCTCTAGAACCCTCAGTTTGTTTGTTTGTTTGTTTGTTTTAGATTTTATTTATTTATTTGAGAGAGAGCACAAGCAGGGGGAGCAGCAGACAGAGAGAGGGGGAGAAGCAGGCTCCCCGCCGAGCAGAAAGGCTGATCCCAGGACCCCGGGATCATGACCTGAGCTGAAGTCAGACGCTTAACCAACTGAGCCACGCAGGTGCCCCTTTTTTAAAGTTTTTAAATGTAAGTAATCCCTACACCCATCGTGGGGCTCAAACTCATGATTCCAAGATCAAGAGTCGCACCCTCTTCCAACCAAGCCAGCAAGGCGCCCTTGAAAAGAAATTCTTAATTTTAATTGAGTGGCAGGGGCACGGCATGATCTTGGCCTCCACAGGGCTCCCTGATGGCTGATTGGCAGGGACCAAGCCATCTCAATGCTGCCTCTGGGGATCACTCAGAACTTACTGCTGGAATTCATTGGGCAGGGGGACAGAATTAGGGAAACAAACTGAATTGTGTATTCTTTCAAATCTTGTATCTGGACCTCTCCTTTTAAAACTCAAGAGCCAAGAATTTGATATCTTTGTTTCCTAGTTCTTCTCGGAGAATCCTCCCCACGGGGCAATGAATGACAGGAGTCTTGGCTATTTGGCCTGGGAGGAGAGATGTGATAAAGGTGGAGGAGGCGGCTTCTTTTAGGCTAAATGTGGGTCATTACTTCATATATTATCCTGCCACACACATATCCACCTCTAAACGCTTCAATGAAAAAGTTAACCACACGCACATCACCGATTGTTTACTGAGCGCTAAAGATTGAATCAGGAGGGCTACAAATGGGATGCAGAACTGCTGACGATTCAAAATGTGACCTTGAGTACATATGCCCTTCCGCAGGTTTCAATCTCTCAACCTATGAAACAAAGAGAAAGCTTCTTACAGTGTTTATCTTGCTGAATTCCAAGGCTATAAGGAACAGTGATGCCCCTTGGAGACCTCTGAGGAAAGGGGGGCTTTAGATTTAAAGGCTAAGATATTCACCCCTAGCTCAAAAAAGCCTGTTATTTCTCAAGACAAAGAGTATAAAAGAGACTTTGAGGTTTTCTTGTGGGGAGGGGAAAGAAGAGGGATTTTATGTTCCTGTCTATAATAGTTTTGGTCTTCTTCAAGTTAAAAGAAATAAGAATGTTCTAGAACTCTTTCAAGAATAGAAAAATTTACTCCATTTCCTGTTTCTTTAGGCTGGATGAAAAATGGCAGGAGTTCTGCTCCACTTTTAGTTGAGTATGCCCCTACATAAGGTTTATTTAGACAAACTCAGGGCCTTTGGTTTAGAATCTGTTTTAGGATATGCAGCAAGATGGACAAAGAATAAAATTTTAGTTGATGTAAAGAGAAATGACTGCATCATGGTTAAAAATGAATTTTTTAAAAATGATTAAATTCTTATTGATTTTTTTTTTTTTCCCCAAGCCAGTCATTTCAGAGTTGATGCTTTGGAAATTAGCTACTTTCGACATTTTTGGTAATCTAATAATTTCACATTCCTAATGGAAAACTATCCCTTCCCCTTTCAGATTTCTTTAAAGTTACATTTGTACAGGGGCACCTGGCTGGCTCAGTTGGAAGAGCATGCGACTCTTGATCTCGGGGTCGTGAGTTCGAGCCCCACATTGGATGTAGAGATCACTTAAATAAATAAAAACTTTAAAAAAAGTCATATTTGTGCAAATTCTCCTCTGAAAGAATGCAAATTTGAGTCAAGAGTTTCCTGAAATTGAATGAGGAGATCGATTCCATTCCATAAATTAAGAGTGGCTTTGGTAAGCATAGTGGGTTCTAGAAAGTTCAAAACTGAGTATTTGGGGAGTGTTCTGATTCCTGTTTTGAGTTGGGCAAGTTTTTCCTGGTGTAGGTCTGCTCTCTGAGAAACTCCTGGATCACCGCTTTCAAACCATCTCCTATTTTCTCCTTCAGTTAATCCCAAGAAGAAAATAGAGATCGGAAACTGTGTAAGCAGTAGGGCATTTCCCCCCTCACCCCAACAAGTCTGTCTTGGCATTTGTGCACTCTACAAAGCTCAAACAAACACCTTCATTGGCTCCCCATTTCCTGTCAGTTTATGTGTAGTTCTTTTATTTAACATTTAACATTCTCAATAAACATGTCCCTAATTGAAAATTTTAGCCCTATGTGCCCCTCCCCCATATAATCTCGTCTTTGGTTAAATTTAACAGTTAATGCTCAACCTGACAGGATTTCTCCATGCTGCACCTTACAGTTTTTGCTACCTGCCAGAACCACCCCCTCTCCTATACTTGCATATTGAAACCACAAACATCTTTCAAGGTCATGGGCCGGGGCATCCTTTTCTGACCTTAGATGCTACAGTGTCACTTCTTGCTTAATATCATAGGCAAAAAACTTGTGACTGATGTGGGAGACAATGGCAGAAGGAAATGTAGATAAAATTAAAGGTCCTTATAACCTGCAGCCCACTGACATACTTGAGGCAGGCTAAGTATAAAGGAAGCTCCCTTCTATCTTAATGTTGATGCCTTGCTAGAAGGAAAAACTACCTTAGCTTAACAATAGCAGGGCCTCCACTATCCCTTGAGCCTTCTTTAGCGTATGAAAATCCTTTTGGGAATTTCCCTTCTCTTTACCTGCCCCAACTCCATAGTATATAATCAGTCGCTCCTCACAATCCCAGGGCAGCAGCTCTTTCTGCCCTCGGGTCCTATTCCTGTGCTTTAATAAAACCACCTTTTTGCACCCAAGTCTCAAGAATTCTTTCTCGGCCCACGGCTCTGGACCCCAACTACGCTACTCCAAAAAACACATGAGGAGCACTGTTTATTGTATGTAAATGATGAATCACTGAATCCTACTCCAGAAACCAATGTTGCACTGTATGTTAACTAAAATTTAAATGTAAGAAAATATATCATAGGCAAAAAAACTTAAAAGTCGGAAGAGAGGATCCTGGTCTAATTAGTTGGTCTAGCCCTCACGTAACACTGAGCAAATGGATGAAGGAAGTAATTAATGTTCTTGTCCCGTCACTCCTGGTGGATAGGAGAGTCTTAGGAGATAGGGTTGCCAGATTTAGCAAATCAAGATATAGGACGCCCAGTCATATGTGAATTTCAGATAAACCACGAATACCTTTTAAAGTATAAGCATGTCCCATGAAATATTCACGACATGTTTATACTAAAAAGTATTCATGGTTCATCTGAAATTCAAATTTAACTACGCGTCTTGTGTTTTATCTGGCACTCCTGCTTGGAGGGCAGGGACTCCCGGAGGCGCCTGGCTTCCACCCAGCAGGTGCTCAGCATCTGTGCAATTGTTACAACGAAATCCAAACCAGCCCTGCAGCTTCCACAGCTGCACCCGTAGCGGGGCGGAGCCAAGCCACCGGGAAAGACACAGACACCCCGGTTGGAGACCATCACTGGAGGTTGGCCCAGGCGTCCGCACCTGGGAGGCAGCCCCACCCCGTGGGTACTCAGGATCCTTCCGCAAGCTCCGTCATCCCCCACACCCCCGACCCCCGGCCCTACGCTCCACCTCGTGACTGGTGGTCACGGGCCGGGGGGCGGAGCTGCCCGGCTCTCCGATCGCTGCCTACCATTGGCAGGGCCTTCCATCCATCACGTTAGGCCCCGCCCATGAGGCTGACGTTCCCCAGCCTACGTCTCTCCCGTAGGCCGCGACGTAGCTGGCGATTGGTGGAGAAGGCGGCAGCCGTCCCAGCGGAGGCGACGACGGGGCGGTCTCAGGGAGTCGGGACGAGCCGGGGCACGTCACCCCCTACGGCGGCGGTGTTCGCTCGCGTTCCGCCGTCCCGGTCCGTGCCGTCCTTTCCTGTTGCGGCCACCGCGGGACCATGGCAGCGCTCGTGGTGCTCCTGTCCTTGCTGGCGGCGGGTGAGGGCCGTGAGCCTCGGGGGGTCGGGTGCGGCCGCAGGTGGGCGGCAGCGGGGCGGGTGCCGCAGTGCGGGCAACCGGCGGCGGCCTCGCCCCAGCCGCCTCCGTCTCGGCCTTCTCGTCGGACCTACCTGTGGCGGCAGGCCTGCCGGGCTGCCGGGGCGGGGCCGGGCTGCGTGGGGGCACCTGAGCCGGCCTCCACCTTCCGCCTCTTCCAGGAAGGCGCGGCCGCGGGTCCCGCCGCCGGTCTCTTCCGGCTCCGGAGGCACGGGATTCATTTCCCAATTAACTGTGGAACCGCAGCCCTCTGCGAGGAGGGGAAAGCAGACTTCTCTGAGCTGCCATCAGATGCTGCGTTTCCTTGCGTTTGTTTTTTCTGGTGTCTTCCTTTCTAGCGGTTGTCATCAGTAATTGGTGACGTCTCCCTTAACGTGTTTCAGAATACAAAAGTTGGAGATGGGGTAATTGTTTTTGTAGGATTCTTTCTAAAGGCAAATTCGGAGTACCTCTGAGTAGTTTGTCAAGGTTCTCCATTTTAAGGATTTGCAAACTAAGATGTGAGTCACGTTCTTAGGGTCACATGTTAAGTAAATGGTAGCTTTCAGAGTGGAACCTAGGCTCCCTAGTGTTCAGCAAGTCCGCTAATATTTGGCCTCTTACTGTGTATCCTTTAATTCATTTAATTTTACAGTAGTCCTTAGAAGAGGACATCATCCTCGATTTACAGGGTGATCAAGCTTAAATAAATTACCCAACAACATGCAGGTAGTAAGCAGCAACGCTGGAATTGAACCCGGATCAGCTGGCTCCAAAGCATGGGTCTTTCCATTATGTGTATTGTGGCACAGGTGATGGAAATGCTCCTGCGTGGGAATGATGGGGGCCTGGATCGGAGGCTCAGACAGTGGCGAACAAGAGGCCAAGTTGAGAACAACTTGGAGAAATGGGGCTCTGTTTAAAACCTATAGCTTAAAAATATGTGTGAGGGGTTGGGATGACCCGACCCACTTTTGGAATGGTGGTTTAATTCTGCATGAGTGTATATAGACCACTGACGTTCTTGAAATCTGCAGGTCTTCTCCATCCCTGGAGGTGTGCTCAGGGTTGTGTGTTGATGATAATTATACTTATTTTCATATCCCCAAGGTTTTAGGCTTGTTTTGTTCCTTTCGTTTTTCCTTCTGACTCCAGAAGGGTCATCCTGATCTATCTAGTAAGTTATTTTGAGGGGTGTTTTATTTTAAATTCAGTGTTTGAAATTTAAAAATCTTCCCTTTGATACTGTGATTTAACTGAATATCTGCTGAAATTCCATCTTTTAATGTTGACTGATACTATTTTGATTCAGTGAGGTTTAAGGGTTGTTTGTTTTGGTCTGAGGCAAAGTAATTGCTTCTGTACACGGTTTGAACATGCTTTCCTAACTAGAATAGTCTAGTTCATACAGGCTTGGAATCTGATCTTCTCAATTTCTACAGTGCTTGGTCTTGTCACATGAGGTTAAATTATTATTTTCCACAATGACTTAAGTGTAATTTAGTGGAAAACATCTCTAAGAGATTGGACTTCTGTATTTGAGGAAATAAATAAGTCCTTTAAACTGGTGTTAACGAAACCCAAGAGAGACTAGAGGAAGGGAACTAGGGTTATGAATACCATGTCATGAGTATTTGAAAAAAATTCGGATGTTTACCCTGGAGAGGAAAGGCCAAGGGCAAACATGTGGAATTTGACAGAGTGTCATGTGGAAGAGGGATTTCATGTGGTCAGTGATGCTCCAGAGGTCAAAAGTAGGACCTATTTATTTTTTCCCTTATTGATTCCATCCACCGTTCATGGATCATAGCATAGTACGGTGGGAGTTCCCAAAGGGAGGGATACTTACCCCCTAGCCCAGAATGGGGAGGCTGAGGGAAAATTCCCTGGGGGGAGATGCCTCATGGGCAAATATATGAAAAAGATTGGGGTGGGGGGAAGTTTAGACAGAATGGCCTGTGTAAGAGCACAGAGATGTGAGAGCAAAAGAGCCAGTAGTTCAGTGGGGCTGGAATGTATAAAGGTTAAGTTGGGGAGCTCCCAGAAGTAAGGTTGGTGAGGTTCCTTGGGTGTTATGTTTTGGGTTCTGTCTCAGAAGCTCAGGGCAGCGAGTGAAGGTGGTTAAGCCGATGGGTGAATGAACACACCTGTATTTTGAAAAGGTGCTGGAAAGGCTGGCTCAGAGAGTGGTGTGACAGGTCGTAAGGTGGCCAGTTCTAGCAAGCCCGGAAAGGGCCTGGGAGTGTGCACTGGGCCTGGAGGGGAAAGGATTTGTGAGATAAGAAGGAAAAAGGCAGAATTCCGTGGTTGGCTGTGCTGCTGAGGAAAGATAGAAAGATGACCAGTGTGAGCCGCTGCCTGAAGGGTGGGGTCATCCTTGGAGACAGAACGCAGAAGGAGCATGTGGGAAGATGGTCAGTTCAGTTCGGAACCTGTTGAGTTTGAAGGACCCATGGGACTTAGAAGGAAATGCTTAGCAGGCTGTTGGATATGTAGGTCTAAGGCTCAAGGGAAATCTAGGTTTGGAATAAAAATCTGGGAGCCATCAGTGTTTTTGGTGTTTGCAGCCTGAGGAGTAGATAGGCTCAGCCAGGGAGAGGGATATAGGATAGGAAAGCAGTGAGGGTCAAGAATGGAGCCCTCAGATCTCAAAAGTGGAGTATGCTAGGTGATCTCTTGGGATGCCAGAAGAAGGTACTGGAACTTCCATCTATAGCTTTTTTAAAATTTTTTTTTAATAGTAACAATCAGATATTTTGTAGAATGTCCATCAATTTGGGTTTATCTGATGTTTTCTCATGATTAAATTGGGAAGAATACTACACAAGTATCTCATCCTTTTTTTTTTTTTTAAAGATTTATTTGAGAGAGAGAATGATAGAGCATGAGACGGGGGAGGGTCAGAGGGAGAAGCAGACTCCCTGCTGAGCAGGGAGCCCGATGTGGGACTCGATCCTGGGACTCCAGGATCATGACCTGAGCCGAAGGCAGATGCTTAACCGACTGAGCCTCCCAGGCTTTTTAAAAAATTTGTTTTTGTGTGCTTTGAAATATATTATGAAGGTACAGTCTATTCTACAAGTGTGTACTTTATAAATAAATATATCTATATTGGGGCTATTTTCAAATTTTGTACCAGAAGCGTTGAAATCTAAAAAGTTTGGACCTCTCTGCTTTAAAGGATGGAAGGGAAAGAAACAGAACTGCCAGAGGGACTGGGGGAAAAAAAAACCCCACAAAACAGGGCCCCGGGCTTCACAAGAGCCAAGGGCGGAGACTTTTGAGGGAGTTGCCCAGGATCAGGTGCTTTGAGAAGTTAAATAAATTAAGGGCTTAGAATTGTCTTTCGGATTTGGTGAGGCATTTTGGTGGCACGGTAGAGTTGGGAGCTATGGGTTGGGTGGTAATGTGAGATGAAGAAGTAGAGAAGCAAAGGGTCATTGGCTGCTCTTCCAGGATCCTTCTGAAGGGAAGCCGAGGCTGGTAGGACCAAAGCAGGGGTTTTGTGATTGTCATTTTAGAATGGGAGCACCCAGAGTGTATTTTTAGGAAGTGAAAGAGCCATTTGGAAGGGGGAAGTTAGTAGCATGAGGCATGGCTTCATTCATGACCTCAGCAACTATTTTTTGTTTTTTTTTAAGATTTTATTTATTCATTTGACAGAAAAAGAGAGAGGGAACACAAGCAGGGGGAGTGGGAGAGGGAGAAGCAGGCTTCCCGCCAGGCAGGGAGCCGGATGGGGGGCTCGATCCCAGGACCCCGGGATCATGACCTGAGCCGAAGGCAGCCACTTAACTGACTGAGCCACCCAGGCACCCCTCAGCAACTATTTCTTGAGCACCCGTGTGTCAGGCACTGTTCTCAGCTCCTGGGGATATTGTGTGAACAAAAACTGAAATCCCTGCCCTCGTGGAGCTTCTCTTCTACAGGGCCAGCTTTTATACAACCACATAGCCACCTAACTCCTGATCCTTGTCTTCCGAGTAGCCGCTGTAATAAACACTGACTGACTAATAGGTGAGTGAATGAAGGTCCCTAAGAAGGCTGAATGCAGGGATGATGTTAGACTGGAGGAGGGACGGCCCGGCCAGCATCTGGAGGGAGAGGAGAGAAGGCCAGGGGCTGGTGCAGATAAATGTGTGGTGGGGAGAGGAAGCAGGCGGTGGGCGGGATTCCTGTGCTCTCTTTTGAAGCTGGAGGTGAGGTTATTTGGTAAGTCTGAGGCAGGGGTGATAAAAGAAGTTGCTAGAAGTCGGGGAGCTCATTTCAGTTGAGTACTGCAACAGACTTTCCGGGGGGTTGCAATGTTGGGACGGTGGAGATGGCTGCTGGCTGGCGTTGGGTTTGTAAGTTGAGGCAGCGTCCCCCTTGACTGGTTGTATTGTGGTAGAGAATGGGTGACTTCCTGTCAGGTCTCCAGGGGAAACCTGGATTAAGCAGCAGTGTCTCAGTCTAGGAGTCCACAGCAGTAAGGTTTTCTAAAGCCCGAGGCTCCCGCAGGACTGTCGTGCAGGCACAGAAGTGGGCATTCTACCTACGGTGTTGGGGCAGAGTAATTCAGCAGAGCTTTCCTTGCTGGGATTGAGTGACTAGGGCCTTGCTGCAAAACAGGACTATCTCCAGATCCAAATATGGTTCTTTAGTGTGTGGTACTTGGAAAGTGTAGGACTGTTGCTGCCCCATTTTCCTTAGCGTTTGCAATAACCACTACTGTAGTGAACCAAGATGTCTATCAGTTACAGACAGCCTTCCGTTCCGCTAATTTTTTTTTTTTTTTTTTTTTTGGCCTGCCTTCGGCTAGAACATTTTGGAAATTCCTGCTCTGGCAGCTGCGCTGAATTGAAACTCATAATTCTTCCTGTTGTATCAGCACCATCCTGAGGCCTTTTATTTACTGTCAATACTGCAACACCAAAACATTTATTGTTGCTTCTAACTTTATTCCCATACCCTGTAAGTGGTACTTTCCTTAGGTCAAGAGAATAACAGTGATGCTTTATTAAATAAAGTCTAATTTTCCCATACTAGGTAAGCATGGCCAAGATTTGTTTTGGACTCGGAGCTGATCTTTTCATAGGAATCTGAAAGTTTCCACAAGTTACTCGTCTTTGTGCAAGCTAGACATCATTGGGTTTACACAAAATGGCTGAAGAGGCCAGATACCTCATCCTTGGAGGGTTTATCAAATAGGCCCTTTATTCTCATCCTTGGTCTGTTAATCTCAGGCTCCCTACCCCTAGACTTGTTGGCTTTATTATTACAAAATACCTGTTCTCAGCCTCTTGATACACCCATTGGAAATACTATTTCTTAGACTGCTTGGCTTCTAAAGTCTGCAATATTTATATTCTGACTAGTAACATGCCCGCCCCCTCCCCACCCCTTGCCTTTGACAGTTCTCATTTCACTAGGTTTGCTTATGGGATGTAAAGAAAGATCTCCTCTATCCTAAGATTTGCTAACTTGCTCAAGTTTTAGAGTGAAATGCTAGGAGTTTTATGAATTTGCATTTGAAGAGAGGGTCGATGGCAGAAATAATTTAGAGATTTCATGTTTCTTCGTTTTTCGTCTGGGCCAGGGGTTTGTTTGCTAGCTATTGATTGATTGATTGATAAAGATTTTATTTATTTCAGAGAGAGAGACAGACTCCTGCTGAGCAGAGAGCCTGACAGGTGGCTCAATCCCAGGACCCTGAGATAATGACCTGAGCCGAAGGCAGACGCTTAACTGAGCCACCCAGGGGCCCCTATTTATTTTTTAAAGTTTTATTTATTTAAGTAATCTCTACACCCAACATGGGGCTCAAAGCCACGACCTCAAGATCAAGAGTTTCATGCTCCTCTGACTGAGCCAGCCAGGTGCCCCTCATTTGCTTTTTAAATTCTGAAGAAATGCCATTGATTTCTAATTCTTGCCAATTTGGCAGATGACCCTGTTTTTGGTTTGTTTTTTTTTTTTAAGATTTCATTTATTCATTTGAGACACAGAGAGCATGAGCAGGGAGAGAGGGAGAGGGAGAAGCAGGCTCCCCGCTGAGCCAGGAGCCCGATGCAGGGCTCGATCCCAGGACCCTGGGATCATGACCTGAGCCGAAGGCAGCCGCTTAACCATCTGAGCCACCCAGGCGCCCCCAAATGCCCCTGTTTTAAGGGCCACCTGTAGGAAGGCATCTTGATCGTTAGGAGAATCCTGTTTCATCACTGTGCCTCTCTTAGCAGAATGTATGGACTTTGGTTCGTAGAGCAATATTTTGAAAAAGAATTTGTTGATGTTTGGGATTCAGCATTTTGTCCAATATGTAGTATGCTGAGTCAGTGGAGAATGGGGAAGCGTTTTATATTTAATAATTTTCTACACGGGTGCAAAAGATTTATGATGTTGATCATTCATTTATTAATCTGTTTTCTTCCAGGTGTTTTGGGGAACGAGTTTAGTATATTAAGATCGCCAGGGTCTGTTGTTTTCCGAGATGGAAATTGGCCTATACCAGGAGAGCGAATCCCAGATGTGGCTGCATTGTCCATGGGCTTCTCTGTTAAAGAAGTATGCGTATTTTTTTTCCTAAGATTTTATTTATTTGACAGACACAGTGAGAGAGGGAACACAAGCAGGGGGAGAGGGAGAAGCAAGCTTCCTGCAGAGCAGGGAGCTGGATGTGGGGCTTGATCCCAGGACCCTGGGATCACGACCCGAGCTGAAGGCAGACGCTCAACGACTGAGCCACCCAGGCGCCCCTGGGGTCCCTTTTTATAAGGCACTAACCCCACTGTGAGGGCTCCATCCTCATGACCTCATCACCTCCCTAAGGCCCGCCCCTAATAGTGTCACATTGGGGGATAGCTTTCAATGTGAATTTTGGGGGGACACAAACGTTCAGTCTATTGCAATTTATTATGAATGATAAAACATGCATGCATCTTGCCTGAGTCTGAGAAATAGTGCGGTCCGCAGCTGTGGGAATGAAGCCATAAGCTGTTGAGTAACTGGCTGTTTCTGTGATGTAGTGGAGGGGGTGTAGATCCTGTCAGGACAAGGGGTCTGCAGTGAAAGGCGTGGAGAGAGGGGATGCAGTCTGCTGTCTTGCTATCGTTAGCTCTCCACACTTAATAAGTTTGGTGCTTTTGACATGGTCTCTAGATAATCACCACTCAAAGGAACTTTCCTCCCAGGTCCTGAGTGCCCTTGAAACCAGAAGCAGTGTGAGGGAGCTTCCTCTCTGCTGGGCCTGTGGCTGGAGCCCCTGAGCTCCCTGTGGGAACATGAGTGGTTGCTTACATTTAAGGATGAAATTTGTACCTCCTCCTTCATAGACTTAAATTTGACTACGAGTAGCTGTCAGAGTAACCCTGAGAAATAATTACTAGTAAATTAATGTGAGCTACTTTGAGCAGGAATTTTATTTATGACAAGCTTAGTCTAAAGAGAAGACTTCTAACGGCAGTTCTGCTGTGTCCTTAAGAAAGACAAAAGCCACGCCGTCCACAAGGGCAGGTGATGGTGTGGGGGGAGAAGACACCCATGGTTTGGTGAGGAAGAGTTTGTAATCTGGGATTTGAAAAGGACCTACATTTTGTTTCCTTGTCTGCTTTCTTCCACAAAAGATTTGAGAGGACTTACTAGTAGACTTTGTTGTTGTAGATCTGTGGAAGTTTAAGAACACAAAGGAGGTCAAAATCCCTGTCCCTGGTTAGGAGTTTGCAACTGCTGCCTTCAATGAAACATTTGCGCCCCCTGGAAATTAATGAGCTAAAGAAACCAGAAGAATTTCAGAATAAATGGAAGAAAGGAAACAACAAAAATCAAAAGGCAGATTTAAAAAAATAGTGTTAGTAATAATATCAGGAATGTAATTTCTGTGAAAATCATTGTTGAGGATCCCTTTAAAATAAACATATAAATGGAATTTTCATTGCCAGTGTCATCCCGGAACCCCTTGACTCTGCTTAGTACACGTTATTGGGGCAGTGGTTTCTGGAGCGGATAATTAAGCACCATCTCATGCTTTCCGGTGTTTAGGACCTTTCTTGGCCAGGACTTGCAGTGGGTAACCTGTTTCATCGTCCTCGGGCTACCGTTATGGTGATGGTGAAGGGAGTAGACAAACTCGCTCTACCCCCAGGCAGTGTCATTTCGTACCCTTTGGAGAATGTGAGTATTTATTATAAAAAAGGCATGCATTTTTAATCTTGTCTGCTGTCGTTATGAATTGTGTTCTAAACACCCTTCTCTTGTCTACATTTTGTTGTCCGTTATCTTGTCACCTTCCCGTCCGAATTTTACCTGATACTTTGTGTAAGTCGGAGACTGGAGGCTATTTTGCTGGTTCACTTACGCCTTCACTGGCTTTTCAGGCCGTATGGCTGGCTGAGCTGTCGTGAGAGGCCTTCCGTCCGCTGCCAGCAGGGAAGTTCCTGAAACATCATGTAGTTGAACTTGCGGGCAAGGCAGGGATACACAGAGGTGCCAGATAGGAACAGACGGCTCAAGAGCCACAGCGGTGAGCCGGAGCTCCGTGTTTCTTGCAGAAAGCCAGGGGCTGTGAAATGCTGTCTTGTTCTTGAAAGGAGGACCAGGAAAACCCCAGCTGCCCCCGGGCTGCCATGGAGCAGCTGACTTACCTCTCTTGGCGGGGGAACCCAAAGAGTCCCCTAAGAGAAATCAGAACTCCGGGCTTGTGGTGTGCCCAATTCACACGACCCACCCCGTTCGGACACCTCCACTGCCCAGGGCTGCTTTGGTTTAAAAAAAAAAAAAAAAAAAAATTGAATATGAGTAATTTACAAAGCACTTGCAAGAAAATAGTGCCATGAGAGAATGCGCAGGCGCAACAAACCGAATTCATTCCCTTAGAACTACAGATAATAGACCAATCTCCAGGAGATGTGAAAATACATACATTATAATTGTGAAAGGAGTTCAAGGAAGGGATAGAAACTGTGAGGCAGGTAGAAGACCTTTTTGATATGTGGTGCATTCATTAATACGTCTAAATATTTCATAATTTATCTTGTGATTTCTTTAACCCGTGAGTTATTTAGAAGTGTTTAATGTGTGGGTTCTTTTCAAGTAATTTTTAATTTTTCAGCTTCTAATTTCATGGCATTTTAAGACTGGTCTGTATGATGATTTGGGGGGAATTTTTCAGACTTTCTGTGGTCTAGTATAAATTATTTCCAGGTATACACAACATGGTTACAAAAGGCCATGTACTAGGCCACAAGGCAAATCTCAACAAATAATGAAGAATTAGTATCAAATAAACCACCCTCTCTGACCACAACGCAGTTAAATCTGAAAACGATACCTTAAAAATGTACTTGGAAGGGTGGGGAGGATGGAGGGGAAATAGGTGCAGGGTATGAAGGGTACAAACTTCCAGTTATAAACGTTACCGCACAGGGAGTACATGCATAACTTACAGATGGAAACATTTATACACATTAGTCCTTTCCTAATGTGTATAAATGTTGGGTCACTGTGTTGTACTCCTGCAAACTAATACAATATTGCATGTCAACTATACTTCCGTAAAAAATAAAGAAAAATGTATTTGGAAGTGGTAAAAACAAAATAGATGACTCCTCAGGTTTAAAGCACACTGGAAGTCTTAAAAGCTATCAGAAAAAAAGACATTGTCTTTACAAAGGAATGAGAGTAGAAAGCAGATTTCTCATTGCCATTAGGGACTAGAAGAGCAAGAACTGAAAAGGAGGGATTGTCTAGTATAAGGCCAGGCCAAGAATACAGTTTACATTGTCATAATAATGAAATGATATGAATCCAATGAAAATTAGGACGCTTGGGAAGGTGAAGACCTAGAAACGGAGTGCCTTGCGGGCGGGAGCGGGGGAGCTGTGGTTGGTGACGCAAGAGAGCTAAATCGTTATTTTTTATACTCAGCAGTAAATACATCTCTAAAATGGAAAAATCAAGATGTGATACAAACATATTTAGAGATGGTGGCAAAAGGAAACAAAGGTTTTGAAAGTGGGGTCCTTGGGAATGGGAAATGGGGGCAAACTTTTTTCTTTAAACTTATTTTTCATAGAAAGTCTGATAGAACTCTGCATGTCTTTAAACTGTATAATCTTTATATACCTTTTGAAAAAATTTTTGATTTTAGCATGCGAGCTGGGGAAAAAAGGTAGAGGCCAAGGGAAAGGGGGAGAAGTGGACTCCCCACTGAGTGTGGGACCCTGTGCCATCCCCCACAGCTTGTTCTCCAGAACCGGAGATCATGACCTGAGCTGAAATCAAGAGTTGGATGCTTAACCGACTGAGCCACCCAGGCGCCCCATCTCTTGAAAAAAATCAACAGGAAAAAAGTTAGTTAGAATAGGTGGACTACCGAATAATTCATGAGTTGAAGAGAAAAAGTGGAAGTTTTGAAATTATTTGGAACTGAGTATCAATGAATGTACCATATATTTAAAAGTGGTGGGGTGCAGCTAAAGTGGTAAGGAAAGGAAAAAATTGATAGCTTAAATGCACACGTTAGACAGTTTAAAAGAATGGAAATTAATGAGCTAAAGAGAGCAGAAGAATTTCAGAATAAATGGAAGAAGGGAAACAACAAAAATCAAAAGGCAGATTTAAAAAATAATCTTAGTAATAATATTAAGAATGTAATTTCTGTGAAAATCATTGTTGAGGATCCCTTTAAAATAAATATATAAAAATCCAAAATGCTCAAGATTTTAATTTGCATACAGTCCAAAACTCAGCATTTTTAACAGACTAGCCTTACTTTCCATGAGTAGAAGCTGTGAAAAGAGCTCATGTTATTGCTTGACCCTGACTGACTGCTAATACTTTTCCTGGCAGTGGGTGGTGAATGAAATACAAGGCTCAGAGGGCAAAATCCACAAAATCTAAAACAAACTAGAATGTCTTAGAATTCCCCTTAATGAAGCTTCTATTTGATTAGCTCGTTTCATTAGAATTTCAAGGCCTATAGATAAATTTGATTCTCTCCAGGACACACACATACCCTTGTACTACAGTGGAAGAAAACAGGAGATTTTAAGCTGTTGAGCTTTTTCTTTTTGGAGCTTCGTGGTTGTATAATTTTTTCTTTTCCGTCACAGTTTGGCTCTCATCTGACTCAGCAGCTTCTCCAATTTGATTGCTAAGGATATGTTACCTTTAATCTTCAACTTTCCTGACACAGGTGCCATTTCAGTAGGTGAAATGAGGCCAGAGAGTATCCCAGCGCTCGGGTTCCCTCCAGAGAGGGACGGCCGAGGAGAGGGCACTGTGATGGGGTGCTTTTGCAAGTGGGGCTCTTCCCCCTTCTTCGGTTACTCCCTAACTTATTTTAAGAGAATTTTGTGAAGAGTTAATACATCTCTTGATTAAGAAGGAATTGGTTTTATTTCACAGTATCATGAACTAGATGAAAATCCCAGCATCAAAATTAAATTTATCAAAGATTTATTAATCATATTTATTTCTCCCTGTACCATGTTAGCATTAATTTGCTACTTAGAAACATTAACCTTTCAATAGTAAAGGGAATTAAGGGCGCCTGGGTGGCTCATTCAGTGAAAGCGTCTGCCTTCGGCTTAGGTCATGATCAGGGTCCTGGGATCAAGTCCTCCATGGGGCTCCCTGCTCAGCGGGGAGCCTGCTTCTCCCTCTGCCTGCCACTCTCCCTGCTTGTGCTGACAAATTAAAATCTTTAAAAAAAAAATCACTAAGAAATCTCCATTAAAACAAACACTATTATACTGCTTGTTTTACTACAGTAATACTGAGAATAACAATTTTTTGAGGGGAAGAGTGACCATAACTTATTTTAAAAAATAATGTGGGATAAAAACAAATCTATGCAGATGGAAGTCAGAAGTTTTGGATACCCTTGAGGGTGGAGAGAATGAAGGGGGAGCCTTCTAGGGTGCCGATAATGTTCTGTCTTGCTCCGGCTAGGCTTTATGAGTGTATCCATTTGTAAATACCCCTTGAGCTGTTACCCTAAGATTTGTGCACTATGCTGTATGTATGTTACACTTTAATAAAAAAATGCAAGAGAAAAGTAGATTTTACTACAATTGGTTATTTCAGTTGATACCATCTTGTGGTCCCAAAATCGAGGCTTCAAAATTCTTGTGACATACTTTATGCTTTGAGTCTTCAGTCTATCTGGAGATAAACCCTAAATCCAACATTTTTTTAAATTCTGAAATGAAAAATGAGGTCTGGTTCTCTTTCAATGAAATTTAATTCTTCAAATTCTTCAGACCTCCTCTTACAAGTTGATACTTTATTATAGAATATACATTCCTTGTGACACAATATTAAAACCAAATGAATTGCTGCTTAAAGTACATGAACTACCACCAGAAAATGGTTTGTGCAAGAGAGTTGTGTCCTTCATGTTGGCAAGTTATTTCCCATCTAGGCATATAGGAGATAAGACTCGTGGCCCACTTAGGGACTGTTTCATCCGTGCCCTCAAAAGGGCCGTGTTTGGAAATGATTTGGGTCTTTTGAATTTCCATAAATGATGGGGGTTTTTGTTTTTTGTTTTTGTTTTTCTTTTAAGGTTCTTTTGTTGTTGCTGAGTGGTTTTTCTTACCCCTTGGGTTCCAGCGATAATTGAGGTCTTACTCTTATATTTCAGGCAGTTCCTTTTAGTCTTGACAGCGTTGCAAATTCCATTCACTCCTTATTTTCTGAAGAAACTCCTGTAGTTTTGCAGTTGGCTCCCAGTGAGGAGGTAAGTGATAAGTTTTTACTTAAGATGCTTTAAAAAATAAGCTTTCCTTAATGAAAATTTAAAACCACTTTTATGAAAAATTGTATATTCTCTCTATATCGTATGTACATATATTTTATATATACTCTGTATATTGGAATTAATCTGCAGGCTCTAACAAAATTTTGGATTCTTCCTGCAGAGAGTGTATATGGTGGGGAAGGCGAACTCGGTTTTTGAAGATCTCTCCGTAACGTTACGACAGCTCCGCAATCGCCTGTTCCAGGAAAACTCTGTTCTCAATTCACTTCCCCTCAATTCTCTGAGTAGGAACAATGAAGTAAGAAGTGCTGTCATTGAATAAATACATGAATATCATTACTAATTTTCCATGTCTTACGCTCCCTGACTTTAGAGCAGACTTGGAATTTCAGGAAATGACAGGTTTTACAGGTTTACTGTGCTGGAGTAGATTCTTTAGTGTAATTTTTAAATGAATCTCATGAACAAATAGACTTTTTTTGTGACTTGAATAAATAGTATTACGTTCTTGTGCAGGGGCTGCCACCAGTTAAGGCAGACAGGCCAGGAGTCACACAGACTACTTGGTTGGCAGAGCTGTGTTGGTCTGGTTACGTAGAGGCCATTATTCACTGCCATCTCTGATGTGTTGCCGCCTCTTTCTGGTTCATTCTCAACAGTATAGTGGAGGGAGGCACTCTTACTTTTGACTCCTATCAGCTTCACCACTGTCTTCCCCACGTGGCATGCCACCTTTGTGGCAGCCTGTCGTCTTGACCTATGGATGACCAGAACCGCCATCTTTTCTTCTCTGATGTGGACTATGTTCAAGGAACGTGAGTGGACTGGGCCACTAGCAGGACCTCACCACAGCATGTCAGAGACTGGGATGCCCTGAGGGAAAACCACTTGAGAGTTTGGGTGCTTTGTCATACCTTTATCAAAGATCTAGCTATTGAGTGGTCCTCACTGTGCTCAGAATGACCATCACCTTTTTATTAGGAAATGTTTTTATGTGCATTTTCAATTGAGATGAACCTACCAAATAGAGGACAGCTGTTGCATAAAATCACTTACTGTGCTTAACATTTGTAATATCCTATCCTGTGCCTTGCTTGATAAACGGCAGATACAGATCTTGGATGCATATTTAAAATAATACTTCTTTTGGCCCTTTGCAGGTTGATCTGCTCTTTCTTTCGGAATTGCAAGTGCTACATGATATTGCAAGTTTGGTAAGTCGGCTACTCTAGTATTTGTTTCATTTATTTTGGTTCCAAAAGACATTTCCTGAGAATCCTGAAATGATAGGGAGACCAATTAAAGTTTGATTATGCCCTAGATTTATGTACCACGAAAGCTGAGAAATTGGTGGTGATGGGAATTCTGAACTCATCTCTTGTTACAGTGAAATTATTTTGCATTTCTGCTTCTAGGAGAGACAGTAAGTGTATGTATGTCCTCAAGGGCACTGGCCTGGGAGTAAGGCCACCCTCACCAGAGTCCTGACTTGGCTATTGATTTCTTGAAAGACATTAAGACCTAATTCCTGTATCTTATCTTTGGGTCTAAAATAGAAATAACAGGGCGCCTGGGTGGCTCAGTTGGTTAAGCAACTGCCTTCAGCTCAGGTCATAATCCTAGGGTCCTGGGATCGAGCCCCACGTCGGGCTCCCTGCTCCACGGGGAGCCTGCTTCTCCCTCTTCGGCTCCCCCTGCTTGTGTTCCCTCTCTCGCTGTCAGATAAATAAAATCTTTAAAAAAAAAAAACAAAAAACCCAACAAACAAAAAAAAAAGTTAAAAAAAATAGAAGTAACAGTTTGGACTAATAATGCTATCAACCAGGTCAGGAAGGAAATAAATATACCTGCAGTGTCTTTTGTGTGTGTGAGTCATTTAAAAAAAAAAAAAACTCCTCCTTTGACTAAAATAAGAAAGCTTACCTGTATGCTGTCTCCTGAAGTTGCCCAAAGCTTTCCGCAGGTTGGTTTGGGGTAGTCTAGACATGTATTGCTGGGGGCCAGCCAGGTGCTCTAGGAGGGCCCGTGGGGAGGTAGCTGCTCTCTGAGCACTGATGGCTCATGCTCTCCTGGGATCGAACTGGTCCAACTATCTCTTCTTTCATACCCTGGCCCATATCTGAGGGTGTTCTGTTGGTTTGTTTCTTTAAGCTATATGTAGGCCCAGTGTGGGGCTCGAACTCCTGACCCTGAGATTAAGGGTCGCATGCTCTACTGACTGAGCCAGCCAGGCGCCCCTTGTATCTGAGCTTTTTTAACTGAGGAGTTTTTTGTTGTTTTTTTTTTTAGGAGCTTTTATTAAATATTCAAGGAGTCTTATAATTGCTCTTAAAAATGAGATTTGTGCTGGGTTTATCAGAAACTCCCATTTCAACTAGTTCTGTTTGCCACCATTTTAAAACTATTTGTATCTTGTGGCACACTGGTAAGGCTCCTTTCAGCCTAGTTTAGTTACATATAAAACTTGAAGTGGCTGAGTCTGACATTACCCACTTTTGTTCGCTCGTTCGTTCGTTCATTCTCCTCAGTTGTCTCGACATAAGCATCTAGCCAAGGATCATTCTCCAGATTTATATTCGCTGGAGCTCGCAGGTTTGGATGAAATTGGGAAACATTACGGGGAAGATTCTGAACAATTCAGAGATGCTTCCAAGATCCTTGTTGATGCCCTGCAAAAGGTAAATTGTTGATGGGGTATGAGAGGTTAGAGTATGACCATTTCAATTTTAGCTTCTTAATGGAAAAATCTATTTAGTGAAATACTGTTGATTGAAGTCTCCCCTTCTTTGGAGGACCTCTAATTTTAGTGCCAAAGGTGGAGTGGGTCAGAGGTGTGCGTTGGGATGTCTCTCATGCTGGCAGACGGCAGGGGAAACGATCAGTAACTCCAGCACTATACTTTTTTCTTTTAATTGTGGTGAGATATACATAAAATTTACCATTTTAACCATTTTTAAGTGTACAGTTCTGTAGCATTAGGTACATTTACATTGTGCAACTGTCACCACCATCCATTGCCAGAACTTTCTTCTTTCCTACCCGAAACTGGCCCCATCGACCCTATGAAATCATGGGAGGAAAACAGCACAGCAGCAGACAGTGAATAGACACGTAGTAAGTGCGCATTTCTCTCTGCCCTTGGAGTTGCTCGCCTGCAGCTCTTCTGTGAGTCAAACTTCATAGGTGTTTGTGATTAACCAGAGACCACTTAGGAACATCTTCATTTCCCTTTCCTACTTCCCTTCCCCCCAGTTTACATGCCAACAACTTGTCTCTTTATTTTGAACATTTGAATACATGTTGAAGATGAGCACTTTTCTAAATATTTTGACATAATCAAACCTTTAAGACAGCGTATTTCGTTAGCCAGGAGGCGAGTGTATGTTCTCCTAGGTGCACAGCTTTAACATTATTTAAGTGCATGTTCGCAATTCATAGTAATGCCAGTAAGTCTTCAGTTCGCAGATGACATGTACAACCTTTATGGCGGGAATGCAGTGGTGGAGTTAGTGACCGTCCGATCGTTTGACACATCTCTCATCAGGAAGACAAGGACTATTCTTGAGGCAAAACAAGCGGTGAGTACGGTTTTAGACCCTGCTTTAAAACTATAAAATTAAAAAAAACCACTAAATCCTCGATCACTTGTGGGCGACATGGACGAGCGGTGGGTAAATCTGGGAGACAATTTCAGTGAAAACCCAGATTGCTTATTCATGTAGGCATGTGTGTTTTGCCAGTGATGCTCAGTCTGCTTGTAATCAGATGATACAAGAATTTGAGTTAGGGTAAGTCTGTCAAAGCCAGTGAGCTCATTTCAATACTGCTCTTACAAGCAGACATCAGAAGTTAACGGGAGGGAGTAGGATGGAGGATTCAGCACCCAGAGTCTGCTTTTCCTGGAGGTATGTTGTCTGTGTGGCCCAGTCCCCCATTTTCCAGGATCTGCTGTTTATACCCCTGAGAATTTGATTTACAAGTTTTTGGCCTGGATCTTGCTTTGATTTTCAGCATTTAGAGGGTCCTAGGCAAGGGTGCCCGCCTGCACGGATAGGAGGGTGCTCCACGGTCATTTATAGACACTCCCGTCTGGACCCATTCATTGATCTCAGGGTGGGACAGAGGTGGAATGCCTGCTCAAGATAATCTAGACGTGACTGCTTTGAGATGGCTTCGTTCTAATGGGAGTGGGAGGACCATTTAAGATCACATGGCAGGCTAGACAATCCCCCAAATTTTCCCACTACTGAGCGTCTAGAAATACTGATAAACAGCTTTTGAGTGCATAGTTTAGCTTTCAAGACAGACAGTCTTAAGGAGCAAGAGGAACTCGAAGTGAATTAACATTTTACATATGTAATCTGAAAATTACAGTGTTGTATTTGTTCATTCTAATAGACTAAAACACTGGGAGACGGGAGGCTGGTGCCCTGCATCCTTGGGAATACCGTTCTGCCTCTCAGCCCTGGACGGTCTCCCCAGCCCGCCAGGCAACGAGGCGTTCAGCTTGAGTGTCTTTGTAGGGTGATGGGAATGTTCTACAGCTAGACTGTGCTGATGGCTGTGCGGCTCTGGGAATAAGTACTAAGGTGCAGGGAGAAAGAACCCGCTTACTGCCCAAAAGAAAGGTCTTCAAGGGGGACGTCCTCTCGCGTTTGCCTCCTAAGCTCCCTGCACGTGGGACTGGCCATCCTCTCCCCCACTGAAATCCCTCTTTCTTCAGTCTGAGGGAGAGAGAGTTGAAGGAAACGTTCGAGTGCCTACAACATGCCAGGTGCTGGGGCTACATCGTCTTCTGTGTCCTTTTTAGGACAAACCTGATCCTGTCACTCACTTCCTGCTTGAAACCTGTCCACGGCTTCTCCTCACCCATAGGCTCAAGGCCAGGTTGCCCGGAGCTTCCCCACGTCGGTGGTTGCCCTCCTTGCTCTGTTCTCCAGCCGGAATGAATGAAGTTGCCCACACAGCGCCTTTGCCTAGGCCTGGAATAGACTCCCCCGCCACCAAGGCCCGGCAGGGTGGGGATGGCGTTGAATGAACCGTTTTCCTCTTTTAAGATTAAAATTTCAAGTGGAGCACACATAAGTATATAACGTGGGGAAGGGAATGCAGTACTTGGTCCTCTGAGCCCCCGGTCTTACCCCTGTGCGCTCCCCATCCGCAGGGAATTGCTGTCCCGATTCGTTAGTCATGCCCTTGATTTCTTTACAGCTTGACCACAGGATGGATTCATCCTTAAACACTGTTGTTTGGTTTTGCCTGCACTGGAATTGTATGTGAATGGAATCCTACTTTTTCTGTGTTGTTTGCTGCCCAGTCTTGTTTCAGAGGCACACAGGCCGTAGGTCCATCCTCACTGCCATGGCTCTCATTGTGTGGACGTGCCACATTTTCCATGCTGTTAAGGCAGGTCGCTGTGCATGGCTCTGGGTACACACACACACAAGGTTTCCCTAGGGCGTGGACTCGCTGGATCACAGGATACGCACACTTTGACCATACTGGTGTCGCCACATTTTCTCAAGCAGTTGGACTGGTTTATACTTCCATTGACCATGTGCTTCCCCTTTCCGGGAAGGCTCCCCTTCTTGGCGCCTCCTAGTAGAAGCATGTCTTAATGCCACCTAGGAATAAATGTTTGATAAACGAATCAGAGCTACCAAATGGGGATAATTTCTGATCTTAAAATTCTTCCCTCTTTTCTTCGTTGTAGAAGAACCCATCAAGCCCCTATAACCTCGCATATAAGTATAACCTTGAGTATCCAGTGGTTTTCAACATGGTACTTTGGATAATGATCGCCTTGGCCTTGGCCGTGATTATCACCTCTTACAATATCTGGAACATGGATCCTGGATATGACAGCATTATTTATAGGATGACAAACCAGAAGATTCGAATGGATTGAACTCTCCTCGTGCCAAACTTAGAAAAGGGATTTGGAAATTGGCTGTTTTGTTAAATCTTTTAGTGTAGTTTAAAAGTAGATAGTATACTTTAAATTTATAAAAAAGAAAAAAAACAAATTTTGTGTGCCTGTGATGTTCTTTTAGAGTGAATTATAGTATTGATGTGAACTGATCTGTGTGCTATAGATTCTATAATATGCTCAAATATGATATAACCATTTAATTTCATTCCATTTAACATTTGGAAATGTGCACTGAAATAAATGTAAAACATTTAGAATAACTTGTGTTATTTATGTTGGGGAAAATGCACTGAATTTATTAGACAAACTTAGGAGTGCTTAACTTCCTTACACAGGACAGATGAAAATGACATTTGGGCTGTTCTATACCAGGAACCATTTGTAAATGTCTTAATTTGATGTAAATATCTCTGAAACAGAAGGTATTTAACTTCAAAGAGCCCTAAGTGGACTATCTGGGAGTACTTACACAGTGATTGAGAACTCCATCTGATTGACAGAGGGTGGCTGTTTCTTAACCTCTTCTGAAAGTCTGGTGATCCAGATCACGAGGTGGATATTAAAAATACTACATTGATCTAAAAAGAAACTAGCTTTGTGGAGTTAATAGATATCTGTAATTATACACCCAAAAACCAATTTTGGAGGGACATCTTGGGGCTTGACTATTTTATAGTCAACTTTCCTGTGTAAGTTACTATTAATGGTTTGTGGTACGTCATTCTCTAGAATATTAAGTGGAAGTAGATGCTCCCTACTTTTCATGTGGAAGTGGACCAATGTCTATAAAGAGTGACAAATAAAGTTAATACTGATTCCACATTTGTGTCATTTCAATACTAAATCTATTTTGTAAAATCCTAACAGGGTTTTATTTAATCAATTGGCTGTTACACAAACGGTTTCATGCCTTTTTTTTTTTTTTTTTACATTTATTCTCACTGCCTCCTGAGATTCAGTATCAAGACAAGGAAGACATTTTAATTACCATTCTTGTTACTGAATTTATACAGAATATGTGGTGAATTCACACTAGACTCTAGGTAGGAAAAGCTTAAATTTCCCTACAGTATTTAAAAGATGAGTAAGTAATTGGTCAAAATAAGGACTATCTAAGGTAAAGTCTTAAAAGTTATAATTTTAAACACTTATTAGAATTTTAAATTTCATGATTACGTAGCAAAATCAGAGTTGTGCTGCCCTGCCCCTGGGAACCCTACTTGGGTTTAGTATGAGTCGTTTCTGTGCCTCTTCTTTAGAAAGATCATCAGATCCTTTCTAAATAACACTGAGGTTGGCAGGTTTGAAAAGATGGAGTCAGCTAGTTGTGTCTTCTACCACTTAATGCAAGATACCTTTAAGCTGGTAATCACCGGGAAGAGAGAACAGACACTGTTCCAAAATCACTTAGATATTCTCCACTGCTACTCCCTGGCAAGTTTATGGGGTTGAGGCTGTTTTCAGCCGCCTGGCCCCAAAACACTAACCCCTCACAGAACTCAACAGGGCCTATATTTGGGAAGTCAGGAATCCCTAAGTCTGCAGAGTAGTTAAAAATCCATGTTTCTTTCATAAGTTTCTTATATAAACATTGCCATAGAAGACTGTGATTACATATGAAGTAAACTAATGTCTAATTTAAAACTGATGAGACTATGTTCTAGGGGAGAAAAGAATTACATGACAGCACTAGTCCTTATAGGGTAAATGGCACCAGCACCCTTCTGTTAAGCAGAAAGCAATTAATTAAAATAAATGTTCTGCCAAGATGATTATACCTGTTGCTGATGATTTGCTCTTAAGTCTAATTTGTTCAGGAACATAAATCACAGTGTTGAGATTTGTGTGAGAGGCAGGAAAGCTAGACTCATGACAGACTTCTGACAAGCTGAAAAAACCCAATCACTTTATATCTAATTGGCAGAATATTCCTGGTTTATAAAATATCTGAGATTCTACATGTGTTAAGTACTGCTTATGGCCTGATTCGATTAGGAATGATACAGAATTGATTTTTATTCTCTGGCTATGCCTATTTTGAAGGAATGGTCATCCGAATACATTCTCATTAGAACCAGATAATGTAGAAGCCATGAACTTACTTTTTAATGGATGTTCAACGATTTCTAAGGGACACTGGAACTGGGGTCAGTGACCAGGCCTACTGGGTTCTGCAATGGCATCAAGCCTCTCCTAACCTTGGGCTTAGGCAGAGTTTCTCTGTAGCCTTTTTGTGACAATGACTATGCAATGGTTTCTTAGAACGAGAAGGTCATTAGTAAGACCCACTAGGATTAAAACGCCTCGAGTCCTACAGATGAATTCAGTTCACCATGTCACCATTTAATAGCTGAACAGTCTTGGGCAAATCCCTCACTCTCTCTGAATCAGAGTTTTATTTTTTTTAAGATTTTATTTATTTGAGAGCATGAGCCAGGGGGGTGGCGGTGAGGGCAGAAGGAGAGGGAGAAGCAGACTCCCCGCTGAGCAGGAAGCCTGGGCAGGCCCAATCCCAGGACCCCCAGATCATGACCCGAGCCGAAGGCAGACGTTAACCGACAGCCACCCAGGCGCCCCCGAAGCAGAGTTTTAAATCAACATCATGGGGATGGTAATACTCCAGGTTTGTGGAAATGAGCCTTCAGTGCACTAGCACGTTCTAAGGTTTGCAAATGCTTAATATAACTGCTAAATTCAAGGAGCTCTGCTTGGACCCATGGTTGTACCATGGATGTGTCCTAGCCAGTTTTCTTGGTTGCAAACAACAGTAACAGTTTGGTTAAATTACACCAACTGTCTTACTAAGGCCTTTTATTAGCCCACAGTCCACTTCAGGAGCACACAATGCATTTAGTTCTCATGTTTCCCTAGGCTTCTTCAACCTGGGACAGTTTATTTTTGAAGTGTAATGGACAGAATGTCCTTCAGTTTGGGTTTGATATTTGCTCATGATGAAATTCAGGTTATATGTTTTTGGAAAGAATACCAGAGAAGTGGGGTGCCTGCATGACTCAGTAGGTTAAACATCCAACTCGATTTCAGCTCAGGTCATAGTCTCACGGTTGTGAGATAAAGCCCCACGTCGGGCTCCACACTCAGCGTGGAGTCTGCTTGAGATTCTCTCTGTGCGTCCATCCCCTGCTCACGTGTGCTCTCTCTCAAATAAATGAGTACCACAGAAGTGGTGTGTCCATCTTCGTGTTCTAATCAGGAGGCATATGGATGTCAACGTCTCACTTTTTTTTTTTTTAAGATTTTATTTATTTATTTGAGAGAGAGAGAATGAGAGAGAGCACGAGAGGGAAGAGGGTCAGAGGGAGAA